AGTGTCTTCAGGTTTACACTCTGATGATTGTTGGCAAAAACCAAAAACTGCACATCAGCAGGTTTACCCAAGTAGCAGTGAAGGTTTGGCTCCTGTACAGTTTTGCTTGGGCCATATTTGACTTTGACTGACTGCCTGAAATCTCCCAGAGGTTTAACGATGATGTGCCACATATGAGGTGTGCTATGACATGTGGGCCACATTTGGACATGTCATAGCACACATTTTCCAGTGCTTAACTTTTGCAAGATGAAGCCCAGACTAGTCTCACTGTCAGTTATCTGGGTAGGACAGGGTTAATGAGTCTGACCTCACAGTAAGCCAAGGTTTAGCTCACATTAGTGTTTGGGGGCAGTTCAGGCATTTCTTTATTAATAAAGAATTCCAACTATATCAAAGTATATCAAAGCCGATTGAAGGTTGATTTAACCATAACCTCATGCTGCTACTTCTGTGATTAGTAAGTTACACCAACATTTATACAGTCCCATTTTCCTCGGTCGCACTTCCTTCTCTTCCTGACTGTCGCCTCATTGCCGCATTGTTGTCTCTGAACTCCCTGAACTTCATTATCAGTGACAAATTGTTTTATTTTCTCTTGTGCTGGCCAAAATTTGAGGACAAAAAGCTCAGAAGCAACTATCTCCAACTTTATTATCATAGTACAGAGGAGGTCAGTTCAACAGTCAAACCCAAAACGGGATAAAAACGCACAAACATGCAGTCCCAGCTCTTTAAATAGCACAGCTGAATAACTGTCCGTGCGGTGGATACTTCAAAAACTCTGCAGCTCTCAAAGCCTTAAAATCAGCCCTTTTACTAAAATAAACTCTTAATCTTTATACTACTGTCAGCAGACGCTGACAGTAGTTGCTAAAAAGCTTGTTGGTTTGATCGGTCAGTTTCTGCCATTTCTGATTGGACCCTCATGAGGTGAACCAAATAAATTTGATTCTATTTTTGCTCATTTTGGGTGACGCTTTGATAGCTTTGTGCACCTCAGTCTCATTAATTAATGCTGTTTTGTCAAAGCTGCACTGCTGGTATGACTAAGTCACACACAAAGTGTCCATTGGTGTGTAGCTTGACAGAGTGGGATACTACATTAGTGATAAAGGTGTGTGAATCTCAAAGCTTATTAATGTTGTTAGCCAAGTAGCAACATCTGGGGCCGTTAGACAAAATCTGCTGTTCCACTGATGTCTACTTGAGGGTTCAAAAGCAAGTCAGTCCCTATAAACGTTTTAAAATGGTCAACTTTAAAGCAGAAATTATGTATAAATACGTTCACAGCATGCATTGGTCTCTGTAGCTAATTTAGTCTCTTCATAACAATTTTACAGAATATTTTTATAACTTACCTCTTTAAATTGGCTTACAGTTGGCATTGTTGGGGGCCTGGTCTCTTTGACTGCTAAATGGACGGTGGCACAGGTTGCTGGAGCTGCTAGCTGTGTGCTAGGCTTCACCTCAGTTAACTGGAGTCACTGAACTGGACCTCTGGACTGTGTTTGTGCTGTTGGAGCATTGCGGAGCATTTTTAATGACATTATCTGACCACTAATATGGCTGCTGTGAGGTTATAGTACTAACAGACCATCCAAGATGTCTGAGCTGCAGTTTTGAGGAGTTATATTCTAGGATTTTATTTGGATGTTACAGAGCACTGATTAGCAGGAGTCTGTGTGATGCTCTGATACAGTCTATGGATGCAGCGTGCTAACTAATTTAGCTGGCATTAGCTGATAACGTAGCACTCTTCAAAATGCAACTGGTGGCATCATTGTGTCCCTCTGTGATCCTTTCCTAAACCCAGTTGAGCTGTTTTTAGGGTCTGAACCTCAGTGAGTTAAATTGAAAGCCAAAAACAAGTAGGAAAAAACAAACTACAGAGCAAGGTATAAAAAGGACTCTAAAAATAGCCGCTCAACTTACACCACCCCCCTTACTTCCCAGTGCCAACTTTGCAGGTCAAACTGGGCTCTTACCTCTCAGTGGTTGGAGCATCAACACCAAAATATGCCCCTATTCATGTGTGAGTCAAAATCAGAAAAATATTTGGAAAGCAGAAAATATTAAAGAAAAATGAAAAAAATGTTTTTGTTTGCTGATCAAAATTAAGAAGGGTGGGGAAAATTTGGACTCATGATCTGAGTACTAC